CCTAGTCTGACAGAGCTCACATCTGCTAACCTACAGGACACAGCATAAAGCTCTTTTTTCTTTCTTTTTTTTTTTTATTTTTTTCTGTATGCCCTTTGTTTTAAAGTGCTGCCAGTGAAAAACTGCACATTGCAGTTTGCTTTCTAAAAGGATTGTGGGGAAGTAAAACAGTCTTTCCCTTCCCTCTCGAAAAGAAAGCGATTGTACACTTAGGTTTGTCTATGCACCTGAGGCATAAGGTGGATTTTTAGAGATTAAAAAAAAAGCCTAAAAGAAGCAGCTACCAAGATACTACTGTCTAACTCAGGAAAGGCAGAGAACAGGAGCAGATCTAAAGAAGTTAGCAATTTCCTCATAGTACGAACGTTTTGCTGAACTTCAGTAATTTCCCCCCCTAACTGACTATAGTGCAGCACTGCTCTTGTAGATGTGTTTCACAGCGTGCAATTTTGTCCCTGGTAGCAAGGGCATGGCTCTGCTTCTGAGCTAGCTGGTTTTTGTATTTGTCATTTTGATGCCTTGTTTGACTTTTGGGGTTTTTCTTAGACTTTATTGCGGTGTGCTAAGAGAGTTGTGGGCCTTTTGTTTCACTTGTTTTGTGTCAGGAAGGATGAGCTCTATCTGGAGCACTGTTGTAGCTGGGTGACTCTAGGGCCAAACCAGGGACAATGTGAAAAGAGAAGAGCTTGGCTTACTGTCCATGGTCTGACTGTATGGAACTTTGGGGTTGTGCAGAATCAGAAGCAGGAAGAGCTTCTGTTCCAGAAAACAGTTTTATTTTTTCCTAGAGAAAGGTAAGGGAATAAAGATCTGGTTTGGTGCTTAACTAAGGTTTAAAAATGAACTGAGACAGATCTGATATAAAGCACATTTAGGACAGAAAGGGATTTCTCCTGAAACAGCTGGACAAGAAGGTGCATGACATACATGGTACACTTTCTCTCATAAGCAGAGAAGAAAACTGTGGAGCTTCCCAGAGGTGGTAAAGCAGCTGATCCTTGGCCTTGGGGGGGCAGTTTCTGTTCTGTGCATCCTCATAACCCTCCTGTAACCTTATAGCACATGGGCTGCTGGTAGGTAGGGGGGATGAGACGGAGAAGGCACGTGTTGCTCAGGAGCCCTTTTTAGCATGCAAAGTACAATTTCCAGGAAGGTGCAGGGTAAGTAGGTGGCAAACAGGACTCAGCCTAGCAAATGGTGTTTAGTGTGCAGTGGAGCTGCAGCACGCTGAAGGCAGCACACTGATCCCTAAAGGAATTTTGCACTCTAGAGCAAAGTGAGGGCATCAGAGATCAGCAAACACCGTCTGGAGCAGGGAGTGACCATGCAAACTCCAGCCACAAAGAGGTTCCTAGCTTAGTGTTACCAGCTGCACGTCCTCTGAGCACACAGCCTGCGTTTCACAATTACTTCTATTGCTTGCTTAGGAGAAAAAAACCCACTAACTAAAACTCACAAGCCTTTATTAGTGTTGTTGCTACTGATAGGCTAGTCCCTAATTAATGTGATGGTGCTTTCCCATTCCTCTACCACTCTCTTTATTACAAGTCCTTGGCAATATGAGAGACCTATCTATTACTTAGTCATGAGGGATCTAGACCAGCTTGCTTTTGAAACTGAAGACCATGTACCCCAGGCATACTGTATTTCTGATTTGCATATGGAAAAGGCAGTTAAAAAGCTGATGCCCCCATATTGCTTGCGAGTCAAGTAGCAAAAGTAAATGATTTATCAAGCAAAGGTTACAACACCTGTGGCTTTTTGTCAACATATAGATAGGATGCCAAGTCAAGTGTTTCTTCTAATAGTTCAAACAGAAATTTAGATTCAAATAACCCCCCAGATAGGACAATTATGCAGTGAGCTGCTGGAGTGGTAGAGTGATGGATGGGGTAAGCACAGGCAGTGCGTGAGAAAACAAACCAACTGAAAAGTTTTGAAGCTGCTGAAACCACACAAAGCCAACAGCCCTTTTGGGGCTTTTGTTACTGAATCAGAACTACTGAGTTAAATGGGTTTACTTCCTGGTCTCTTCTGTCATGGAGTTGTGATCCAGCTACAACCTTATTTGACTCAGTGAGACAACCTTTTTCAAAATTAAATATCATACAAATTCTATGAAATTCCTTTAGGGGATTACGTTTGAAGCAATGTGACATAAATGAGAACATGCTGCTAATGGAAACGTCTATGGCTAATTTTTATAATGCCCATTAAGAAAGGCATGTATGGGGTTTGGTTGTTTAAAAACAGCCCAGGACAGAATGATCCTTGCTCAAACCCAGCCATGATGTTGTACATTTGTCTGTGAATTTATTCCAATGTTCTGTGCATGTCCATGTATGGGAAATGTGACTTCTGCTGAACGGTGCTGTCACATCCCTGTGCACAGACTCACTTTTGCAGAATTTTAAGACTAATAACGATGGTGTGTGATTAGTGCCTGTAGTCAAATGGGCCACCAATTGGCAGAGACAATCAGAGCCACAAAAAAGCTGATCCCAATGTTTTCTTATAGCTTGTAGATGGCCTGTAATTTTTAAAAAGCAGATGTTTAGATACAGTCTTCATTTCTATTTTGTTGTTCCAGCAGTAAAGGGTTGCTTAACCCTTCTATTTTAGCTCAGCTTTCAGAAGCTCTGAGTGTTCACTGCTTCCTCCTGTCTAAGGGAGCTGTGTGGCCTGGCAGTTAGTGGTCCTCAGGACCCATATCTTAGGCTGACTCTGAAGGTACTACAAAAATCCTGATGGAAAGCAGCCACCCCAGCTGCTTTTAATAACACAGTCCTATGTGTTTTTATATTTTCATTTTGAAAATAGCCTAAGTGATCATCCTATACACTAATGCCCTGCAAAAAAGAGTCCAAAAGCACGCCTTTGTTTAGAGGATCATCAAGTAAATCCCAAATCATTGCAGTTAGCATTTTTACCTCACTTCTCTGATTTAAACCACTGTGAACTTCAGAGTTGTTTCATGAATAAGTAGTGAGTTATGCTGATAAATTATATATTTAGTATCAAGTGGGTTGTGGTGGTGTAATGATGTATGGAAGCACGGAGATGCAGCTGGAGTCAGAGACTGGAAGTCAGTCTCCTTACCCACTGCAGCAGGTTTGACTTTAATTGAAAGCAGTGCTTGAGTATTGTTTTTCACCGTGCAGCATTGTTAGTCACTATACTGCATTACATAGAAGCACTTAAAGTAAGTCTAGAGCACTTTAAAATGATTTAAGTCATAAATAAGGAGGATAAAAGTTTACAGTCAACGAACTTATCTGGGAAACCTAGGCTGCAGGATGCAAGTAAGTTTAAAATATTTTGGAGACTTAATACTGTTGTGTCTTGTTACATAATCAATTTACCAACTAGTAGTTTTTCAAGTCTTCTGGAAAAGGTAAGTAGCATTCTCCAAAGGGTTTCAAGTTTCCTGAGCTATGAAGAAAAAGACCAAATGCTTAAGGACTTTAACAGTGTACCTTAACATTCCTGTCTCCCAATTTCTGTGTGTTTCTGTGTGTTCCAGTTGTTTCCAAAAGGACTGGAGAAACACAATTCAAATGTGAAGGCACGTGAAAACTTGTCACATACATGAACCAAATAAAGGAAGAGGCCTGACAAGTGGGGTGCAGGCTGCATTTTGTTCAGGAATGAAAAAAAAAATCAGAACCTGATGGGTTAAACCCCTGCTCTGCATTGCTGGTGTACTTTCTGTGACCCTATTTAATGCAGAGAAGGTTTAAGATTCGATGTAGTTTAACCTGTGCTGTCGACAGAGCTATAAACTAAAGCCCCGAACAAATTGTACACAAAGAACAGATAGCAAGAAAACACATCGTGTTCACAGGCATCTGTTTGCAGCCCTGTAACCCAAAATTCTTTGGTAGGGAGGGACTTGTGTTACATCGACAGCGTAGGTGCTGAAGCCATCACGAGGAGCCTGTCTCCATGCATGTCCTGGACTGTGGCATGTGACAGCCATCAATCTGGACACTAATTATTCAGATGCATGTGAACGATTTGAAGGAACTTACAAGAGCTGAGAGCAACACTCTCCAATTTACTAGTTATTTGAGTTACTACTTTTTAGTCATTGCAACCAGCTCAAGACAAGATTACAAATATCTCTTGCAGTTCGACCTTTAAAAGGATTGTAACGTAGTCAAAAAATCACTTAAAACTATGAACTACAGTTGTCCTAAAGCACCAGTTCTGCTTACTTTTTTATACCTTCTCCCCCATGATAACGTGATATCAAGCACAGACTTAATTTTTTCAACATCTGGCTCAAATTAGCTGCTAACAAAACTGCCAACAACTATTTTCTTAATCGACCCTGGGAATTTGATACAGCTTGGAAAAAGCACATTTAAACCTCGTCCTTCTCCTAAAGAAACACAAATGTTTACTTGAGCTTCTGATTTGACCATAGCAGGGCTATGAATTCAGTTAACCCAGCTTTATAGGCCTGCCTCAACTGGACTTTTTTCTCTTTGTGTAAGGAAACAGATGTGCTCACAATTACAAAATCTCCTGCTTGCTCAAAGCCCACCATGCAAATGGCCAACCAGGAATTCGGGTCTATTTTCTTTGCATGGAAGGCACTGGAGCAGTCTCCAGTCGTAGCTGGTGGAGGACTAAGGTGCATTGTTACCTGACGGGTCTCTCTGTGCAGCTTTTGCCTATGCAATTAAACTCACTGCCTAAGGAGCAGGTTGGAGCAAAAAGCTTTGAAAACCCAGTCTTAGAGGAAAAAAAAACCTGTGCACTGGAAGCCAACATCTAAGAAAGCAAGAGAGATCTTTCCAGTTACGAAAGCAGCATTATTACTACACAAGCCCAAAAAAACACAACAGACAAACAAACTGCAAGTGACATTTCACTGTAGTTACTGAGACCATGTGGGTGAAGTGACAGCAGCAGTGCAGCTGGCTCCGTGGGGACACGTTAGAGGACACTGAAGAAGAGGCTGCAGGCATACAGAGAAGTTGAAAGCGGCCCACCTGAGTCTGTTGAGGGATATTTACAAAGCTTGGATCCCGTGGTCCAACACTGACGAATCGGTTTGCGGGGGAGGTGCTGGGTGTCGAGTAGGCTGTGAAGGGAAGGGACACATGCGTTGAGGAAGCGGCACTAGATTGCACACGAACAACACCAAAACACACTGTCTCAGAGCCACCTAAGCAGATGTTTAACATAGAAATGTGCAAACGTTTTAGAGAGCGAGAGTTTGGTTGGAGACACTGGAAAGGTTTGGTCTGAATGGTGGGGGTTATCGACACGGAGGGGACTGGGCTGCTCCTTGCCAGGCAGGACGGCAACAACGAGAGCTCAGGGAGAAGTGTGCTGGGGTCAACTGTGCTGCTCTCCAACCCCGAGGAGAACCACTGCAGGCCCTTCCACGCTGGGATGGCACCAGAGACTTCTGTAGGCATTGTCTGACTGATTTCACTCAAACGTGTGGTATTCCTGGTTTTAATGGAGTTTCGTATAGCTGTGAATTTACTGAAGAGCTTATTAACAGCATCAGACCCTCATTTCGTGCTAATCCAGCGTTTTCTCTCAATAGAAAGTTTTAGTTTTCATACTGCTGTGGTCTGCACTCTCTAAAATGTTCACTTGATGTGTTTGACAAACTAGGAAGATCCTTTCGGTAAAAAATTAATGGGTTGCAGTTTCTCTGGGGTGGTAAGTGCAATCAGTCTGAAGGCTGAAGCTGCCTTTAAAAACTGGAATGGCTCCCATAAATGTAAAGCTATTAAATGCAATGCAAGCCAAGAACCCAGATTACTTCCAAACTTGAAGTACTTTAATGATTTTATTGTTGCATTATATTCTCCACTGCAACTGTCCACAATGCCACGTACTTCCACATCCAAAAGCTTTCAATGCATTTGCAGTCTTCCTCTCATTTGAAAATCCCCCATGCAATCTTCTCCCTTGTCCGTTTTTCTGCATGTTCAGATCTAAATTCAAATAACCTAAATAGATGCCTTAATACAAACAGTGATTCTGTCTATTTTAAATATATTTATGGGAATGCATTCTGCTGAATAAAATCCCCAGACAATGTAACCATACAATGAAGAGACAAAAAAACAAAGTTAAAAGGAAAGTTACTTGCCAAATTCCAGTCAGGCTAAATATAATGTTTGGGCCTCAATGTTACAGAAAAATAAAGCGAGTTAAGAGTCGGGGAAGACACTGGGTTGTCCATGTAGTTGAAAGCCTATTGCCCTCCTGAAGGTAAAATCTTTGGTGAAGAGGCATTACATTGGAGGAGCCCTTGGATTAAGAATGTACTGGATCAGACCAATGCTCCACCTTATCCACTGTTCTCTCTCTTACAGAGGCCACAAGCAGATGCACAGGGAAGAGTCAAAACAAGCCACGTATTTACTTTCTCCTGTTCTTTCCTACCCCCCTGGTTATTTTCAGCTCAGGGACTCCCTGTATTGAATAGTCTGCAAGGGATTTCTCGCTGATGAATGCCCAGTCTGCCCTTGAACCCATGCACATGTTCTGCATCCCACAGAGGCCTTTGACGAGGAGTTCCCAAGCCTACGAGTGTGCAGAACCACATCCTTCCCTTCCCTCTCTACCCACGTCTCACAAACGTCTCGTGATATCTTCTATTTCTTACAATTATATCACACAGCTTCACATTCCCAAAGAGCTTTCTGCTGAAATCACACCAGGAACTGCAGATCTTCATTTCTCACTGATCTGAGGGGAGATAAGGCACTCCTAACTTCCAAGAAGGAACTCTTCCTAGTTGCTTCCAGCAAGGTGAGCTTTTCTCTCCTGAAATCTAACACTTTGCTAGCACTTGCAGAAATCATGCAAGGAACACCTTTCCTTCACAAAGACTTAAAGGAATATTTTAGTGCACTAATTCATCTTTCCAAGATGATTTTGATACTGCAGTGCAGCTTGCCTGCTAGAGTATGAACAGGTACATGGGGTGTTGTTCAGATCTGCAAATCAAGGAACAAATGCACTGAGTCAATTTGGTGAGATGTTCTCCTTGTCTTTTTACCATGCTAATTTGCATAATAATTCAAAGAAGCCACAAATTTGCAAAGGGTATATCTCTGTTTCTAGTGCCATGTATTACAATTTTTCTGTCCTGTTTGATGGTGAGGCTGTTTTGTTTAATTAACTACTGAAGTCGATGTTGTGCAAGACTAAAAATTCCTTCTGCAGTGGGGAAAATTAACTTAAAGCTCAAAAATCAAACATCTGTTGTTTGGTTCTTCTGGTCTACTTTTAAGAAAGCAGAATGAGCGGAGAGGCCATTTAGTCCCTTGGAACAGGTAAGTTCCCCTCAGAAAGGAAGGAACTCAAGATCTTGTTTACAGTTCCCTGTTGGCAGATACTTTTGCTGTGATATTTGGTAGAAAATCAAAGGGAAACCACCATAACACTGTCTTAAATGACTTCTCTGTTCAAACAAAAATCCTAAAGCATTTGAAAACTGTATAATATGCACAAAAGTCCCCTCAAACCTTGCTGGGTGAATTACTGTGTGTACCTTTCTTCTGTAAATGCTCCAAACTGGGTTTAAGTTGCTTTCTGAAAATACTCGGATGTCAGCTTGGTATTTCCTTAAGGTCATATAACTACATTGCTAAAGCCAAGAAGTAAAAAGTACCAAAATTCCATATATGCAGAGCAGGCTTTACAATGCTCTCTCCCAAGATGCTAGCCCCACTTTACTGTGACATGTCACGAGAAGTTTGTGGATTGTAAGGGAACATTTTGGCTCAGAATATTAAGTTAACGTGGAATACACATGAGCAGTGACTCCTGAAATTTGGTTCAGGAAAGGGAGCAGTACTGAGTGTGGTTTAGACTGTCACCAACACGGCTTCCAGCTGTATCTTACTGTCTGCATATAAATACTCATTTGACATGGAGGTGGGATTCCTGGAAGTCTTCCCACTTGTGATCCCTCTATTCTGTTCTGAGATTAGGACTGGGCAAACTGCTCTCACTGGTTCAAGCTGGGTCATATTACACTATAGTATACATAGGCTAAGCCTATGGTGGGGTCTACAAACTCCTTTTTAGGAAAGGGAAAAGCCAAAGCATGGAAAGGCAAAGAAGCCAGGTCTCTCAGGCAGATCCTCTCCTGATCTTTATCAGTTCTGCTCCATGGGAACTGCACAGGATCTACACTAGTTTACACTAGCTGATAGTCAGCCTGCTGGGCTTGAATAGAGACATCTTCCTGCCCAGCCTAGAATTTCTGCTACTGGAATTCACTAAGGACTGTTTGCAACATCATAGCCCATAGCCAAGGAAATGAATGTGATGCCACAAATTTGCTATGATGCTTCACTTCAGGAACAAGCAAAACGGGAGCTGGCAGAGAAAGAACATTTGCTCACACAGACAGCTTTGATACTTAGCCAAAATGGCAAGAAATTGTATGAAAGACAAGACAAACAAACACTTTTGGGAATGTCATGTATTTTAAAGTTGCCTGCAGTAGGAGAGTGTTAATTTAAAATATACTTTCCTGGAATAATTTCTACTAAGCATAGGAGTGTGTCATTTATCAGACAGTTCTGGTATAAAAGGATAAACTCTTGGTTGGTAAAGATGATCTGGGGGAGCGATAACCTAATGCACCACCAGGTCTCTCTTTTACAGACCAGGAGGACAGGTACCTGTGCTGATACAATGAGCTGGACTGTTTCACAAAGGACTAGGAGTCAGTTTAGCCATTGTGGAGTTGTAGCAAGAGAATTAACCCAAGGAATGTGGTGCAATACAGCAATCCTACTGCAATGCGTTCTGCAGCTGAGTATCTGAGAGGGAACTGCAAATTCTAGCAAATTGAATGATACAGTCATCACCCTCTTTTTTATGGATGGGGAAAGGAGCAAACAGAAAGCTAAAATGGCTTGCCCAGAGGGTGCTCAGTCAGTGCAGAGCAGAGAAAGGGAGAGAAATCCAATCTGATTATGAATCCAGTACTAGAGCCACAAGATCATTCTTCTCATCCTGACACAAATGCTGTTTAACATGAAAAATCCTTTCTGCAAAGGGACATTAGCCGATAACAATCTTGCCCAACAAGGGAAAATAGCTACATTTCTCCCCATGTATTGCTGTAAACCTTAGAAAATAACATTTAGTTTAAAAATACTCTAAAACCCACAGTGTACAGGATGGCAGTATCTTAGACTCTGCATTGGAATGAGGACCACAGATTCTAACACTCAAATTCCATTATGATAGTGCTAAAGTCCAACTGGCATGCGATGGAGGTGGTGTTTTCTTTGGGCAGTGAGATATTAAACCCAGAAACTGTCAAGTTCAAGAAAACATTGTGTAGGGTTTGTTCTGGGTTACCAACCAAGCAAAATTGAGAAGAGATCTGAGATAAGATAATTTTGGGACTACGTCTGATATCAAGGATGTGTTCTATTGGAAAGGCTTTTTACGGAGGAAAAATGAACCCTCCCAAACCTCATGAATCCCATTCCTATTGTATCATCTCCCTGGCTTTCCAAAGGGATAGGATTCGCAGCTGAAATTCTCAACTCCCAGAGTATGCCTGGCCACCCAGTAGCAGCAAATCCCCGGTGTGCATCTCCAGGGGCTCTTCCTTCCTTGGACACCACTAATGTTCATGTTTTGGTTAATGTCACAGCTGGAGAGTTTCACTATTGCTCTGAGAACCATTAACCACCTTATGATTTTTAGCTCTCATTCCCAGGAGGCTGTGCTGTATTGAGCAGCTGCTCCTGGCTCCTGCACCCCTCAGGAGGGCCATATTCCAATTTTTGGTAGGGCCGTAACTGCGTTTTGTTTCTGCAGAGGGCTTTCTACTAGACCAAAAAAGGGAAGGAGAACGGAACAAATGCCAACCCCTTTCACTCCATTTCCTTGGAGGGGAGGGGAGCCGGGGGGCTTCATTCTCCTCTGCACAGCTAAGGAGAGAGTCTGGCCAAAATCTAACATCACCCCTGCCTTTGTTGCATAAGTGACTTTCCAATATCCTAAAGCTCTGCGGGGCAGCCAGCCATAACCCAGCGCCACTCCCAGAACCGGTGCGCTCGAGCAGTCCGTAACCATGGAAAACACCTTTTTGTGTGGCTTTTATGAAACTCTGGTGAATCTGCACTTGCTGTTTGAAGGCTAATATTTAGTTAAGGAAAAAATAAACACCGATGAAAATGGAGGGTTGGTGCTGATTGACATGCTAAATGGAGTCCAGTGGATCCTTCTGGTAAGCTCTCACTGCGGGGCTAGGAGCTTGGGTTTGTTTCACTCTTTATGTGGCCAGCCAAGTCCACTGGCTTTGGAATATATATGTAATAATTTTTCTTAGAAAATGTTTCCTATAGTCTACTTTTCTGTAAAATCTGTCCCTAAATTAAATTCTATGCTTCTTTACAAGTCAAGTCAAACAGCCTTACCAAAAGGAAGATGCATGCCTGAATACGTACAGAACTATATGTTTAGACATCAGCGTAGCTAATTAACAAACAGTAATTATTTTCCCAGTCTTTTGTTTAAATACCACTAACTAGCTGCTCTTGAGAAAAACCTCCATTCCCAATTAACGTGGCATTTTTCCCCGAGCCACAGACGCCCATTGCTGGTGTTCCACAAACTTCAGTGGACAAACTCCAGCTCTTACGCCAGCTGAGGATCAGGCCAGAGATGCATTTAGCCTGTTTACATGATCACGGCACCATAAAAATTAAGTATTAAGATTACTGCTACAGTGATGTTGGGAATTTTTTTCTCTTAGACATCACACGCTGCCAGTAAACTGAGTCACAACTGTAATGACAAGTATACATTGACCTAGTTTCCTTTTTCCCGGTTCTAAAGACAAGGAAATAGTAAGGCACTGCTGACTATATTCTGTGATAATTATGACTAAGTAGTAACCTTTTAGATTCCACCAATGAATTTTATTGATAGGACTTAAAAGACAGTATCTCCCGTCAGAAAGCGTTAAAACTTCCTGATAGCACAAGTGTTGGTCTAAGGTCAGAAAGAGGAGTGGAGGGGAGGGAATGAATCAACTTCTTAGCTCAAAAAAAACCTGCTGATCAATTCTAGAAGTCCTGATTCTAGAAGATCATGTTCACAATCTTACCAGACTGTCTCATACTAAAACCCATCTTAATTCTGAAGCCAGCCAGAGCATCTTGCTGAGTGTGCAGTTGTGCACTATCGTGCAGCAGAAGGCAGTGCAAGACTCCAACAACCACCAGATTTTACAAATGCCCCCTGGAACCTGTGCAAGGCTCCTGAACAGCACATAAAGCTTTAAAAACGTAGGCTTCGCATGGCCTGAGTAGTGAGCACCTCTTTGCACATCAAGCAGTGGTTGCATATAGCGTTTAAATAATAAGCTTGAAAAGCACACGGAGGGATTTGCTCTTTCGATTAGATTGATTTTTGTTTGTGGATGTTATTTGGACTCCCTTCACTGTGGAACAAGTCCCCTACAGTTGCCATTAAAGCACTGAAAGCTTCCCTTTTGTTTTTAAATGTCAGTTTGAGCATAGCTTCATTAAATCATTTCACAATTAACTCCCTGAACATCCAGATTTTTTTTAAAGCATCAAACCCAGCTGTATCACATTTGTTTCCCAGAAGAGTGAGTCCAAAGTGGTATCCCCAAGCGTGCATCCAGGAATTTGTATATTTGACTTGTGGCTACACAAAATACATATGGGAGCCGTGTGGGTGGTGGAGAGAGGATTAAAGCTTTCTCCCTGGGCCTAAGAAATATCATAGCTTCTTGCCCAAAACGCAGGGCTCGGGAACCAAGTCATAAGGGAAAGATGTCTGGGTTAATCTAGGAAGACTTATTCCCAAAAGAAGGATAAGTGAAGTGAACTCGAAAGAGTTGTTAGCTTAGCCCAGAACGTGGAAGCAGCAATGTTTTCAGTGAGGTTATCTGCCTGGCTTCCACGTAGTATCTGTCCTCTAAAGCCTGACTTGAGATGCCAACGTGCCTCCTCATGACCAGGAAACAAGATCCCAAAGGTCCAAGGTCTGTCACAGCTTAGCTATTGGCCTCGATTTCTCTCGTATGTGGTTATGTGAAATGCCAACAAAGACAGAAATAAAACTGTAACCTTAGGCTAACTCTTTTCTCGTTAATATAGAAGCAGCTCAGAATTTGGTCCATCATGTAGAGAGCGGAGAGCTCTCCTACTTCCCAAGAGCTTGGCCAGTCCTCATCTCTGACTAGCTGAGAGATGGAGATGGCAGCACGCTGCGTGCTGCCCTTAGCCCTTGGTTCCCGCTGCGTCTATACTTACTTGGAGAAGTGGGAGAGGTGGCCCCTCCTTCTGTTGATGTAGTTGGAGGTTTTGTGTCTGGCACTGGCAGAGGCACAGGCCTAGCCATTGGTGGCGGAGGTGGTGGTGGCAACATTGGGGTAGGAAGGAATGGATTGTGCACCTTGCCTTGGCTGCTACCATTGGGCTGCCAAAAAACAAGCAAACAGACAAAAATTATACTAAAAATCAGCTATCAGGAACCTCCAGCAATAACAATTTTGTTGAAAGCTACGTGCAAAACGTTTACAATTACTTGAGAGGTGGCAAAGAAACTGCTGGGTCAAATTCTCCACTGACTTCAAGGAACTTTGTCTCAAACCCTGTGAACCTTGTGGAACTATGGAAATACTCACTTTTAAACATTTGTACTATTAGCAGCTGGTCTGAACTGCCCTGGATAAAATTTTGCTACTCTTTACGCTTCCTGCAGCCACTAACTCATGATCAGTGAGATCTGAAGTAGTATTTTTGACCCCTTAAATCCCCCAGTTTTGTGCCTCTTTTATACCCTTAGGATAGTTCCTAGGACTTGAGTGTAAATTTCCTAAAGATACTGCTCATTAACAGAAAAAACAAACCTTTTTGGTGGTCTGAAAAGTCATGCTGATATCTTATTACAGGAAAATGAATGAGTATTAAAGTAACTGCTCTCCCACATCCCTTTTGAGTTAGCAATAGTGTAGTTCACAGTTTAGTTGCTGTTAGGATCATATGGAGAAACGACTGAACTTAGAACTGCTTCATTTTACACACCAGGAAAAAACCCCAAACTGCCTTCATTTAGCCTGGGATGTGGTCAGTCACAGGCAGAATGGGCCCAGATATACAAATGTGATCTTCAAATTAATCACCAGAAAAGCCTGTCCATAAATCAAAGTGTTTTCAAGTATCACAGAAACAAGAAGCAGGTTGAAAGAAAAAAAACCCTGTCACCCCTTCCCCCAACTTGTTAAGTTTACATTTTAAATGTAACACAGCCTGGACACTTGAAAACCTTACAGATAGATGCCAAATACCATTACAAAGAGAAAGTAGGACAGCCTGTGAATCAGGTGTTCCATTTTAGTGACAAAAATGATGAGATCACTTTCGACAGCACTCTACAAATTGATCTCACTGCAGTTCTTCTGGCACTGAGCATTGGCTTTTCCATTGATGATAAAAGCTCAGCTTTAAACACAGATCCATATTGTAAGTACTGCTAAAGAAAATATTTTAATTCCTGTTAGGGTTTCCATTAGCCTGAATTACTGGGGACAAAATACTCATACTGGCAAGGGCTTGGGACCTTACTTTCATTTCACCTGCTTTGGCACTGACAAAAGGTCTTGAAGTTGTGTAGGTGCAAAACACATTTGTGCTAGAGCAAAAATGGTTCAGGGCATAAATAAGACTCAAATTCATCTGCATTTAACTTAACAGCACTCCCACCGACTTCAAAGGCTGCAGTCACTAGTGTTGTAAGAAGCAATCCTTCAGGGATATTTATTTTTCCTACATCCAGTACCTTTAATAAACTAATATATTAGTGACATCTCTCAAACACTATCTTGTCTCACAATTAGGTCCCTTTCCTGCCAAGAAGACCCCTGCTGTATGTTCATTGTGAGTGTGCTAACAGTTCATAATGCTGAATGGTTTGGGATAAATTAAGCAAATGAATACTCAAGGAAAAAGGAAAGCACTATATTGATTTGTTGTCTAGACATAAATGTATCTGCTAACATATTGCAGACATTATTCAAAGCCTGTACTGGCTGGAATAAGTAGAGTTGGGTTTTTCTGCTAGGGAAAGGAAAGCACTGAGAACAATATAGCTTATTAAATAAGTGTAATGAATTAGATGCTAATAATTAAACTAATTCTCATTAACACTTTCAATCGTATGTATGTCAGGAGAGAAACAGTAATTTTGCCAGTCATTACTTCATTGGCTGGAAAAAGTTACATGCATTACATTTCATTAAATATTCAGAGCATTATTTTAGATTTGATTTACATAAAATTTATAAATTCTGTGTTTGACCGGAATGCTGTTTCAATAATAACAAGATGATTCACTTTATTTGATTAAAAAAAAAATGAAAATGGTTATTTGAAGCTTTGGAACTCTGTTTAATTCTTCATAGAGATAAGGGGAAAAGATAACTGCTTACAGAAATAACAAACCATAATAAACTGTACTTTTAACATCTTGAGTTCAAGTACTGGTCAACTTGATCTAAAGTGCTATATGGCAGTATTTTTTTTTTTTTTTAATGAACTTAGCTGATCTGAAACATCTGTTTCTCACCCTCCCTTTTCCTGCTCCTTCCCCCCCACTCTCCCCTGAACTTCAAAAATAATTAATAAAAATTATTCTGCCTTTATATTTTGTTAACCCTAGTTCCACTAGGGTTACAACGCATGCAGCTCAGCCATTTGTGGAGGGACTCGAAAGGTCACTGCATCACCAGCTCCTCTGACATTTGAAGTGAATTTCACCACAATGTGGTCGAGTGGTTTTTTGGGGAGGTTTTTTGTTGCTTTTTAAAATATTTTTGCAGTAGCAGCATTGGTGTTTTTTTTTTTTCCTTCCGACGACTACTCAAGGTGTGCTCCTGTGTGCAACATGCTGTTAAAATAATCCCCGAATCCCATGGTTAATTTTACATAGGACAAACACTTCTGAAGAAATAAAAACGGCTTCCTTACATTTAGGAACCCCACCTGTCCAGCCTGCTGACCAGCGTCGGGGCAGACAAGTTGGACAAACTCTTTCAGAGTCTCCTGAGGATGATAGCGGATTGCTGGGTGTGAGAAGTATGGCCCAGGCTGTTGAATAATGGGTGATGTTGGAAAATGAAGAGTCGATGGTGTTGCATGTGGACTTGCTATAGGAAAGAAAACAAAGAAGTTATATAGAGCTTTGCCTTTGGAAAATAAAACAGTTTAAATCTATGGTAGTTTTAGTCTTTTTTTTTTTTTTTAAATGTACAGTATTGCTTATACATCTGATCTTCACAATTAATATATTAGACCACATTGTGTCCTACGCTCACTTCATCTAGATCCTAAAAGCAAACGGAGCCAGACATCTTGAAGGATTTTCTGTAGTTTTAGTGGACACGTATAAAGGCATCAGCAGTCTTTTGTGGAAGTGACAACTATTCATCACCTTAAGAGCAGTCCTCATCAATCAGGCCATAAAAAAGTGTATTTGGGAGATTAGGGTTGATTTAATTGACATTTCATATAACTTGGATTTGCACATATGAATCCATTTTATATTGTACTATAAATGGTTGATAATTTAAAGATGGTCTAATGCTTCCTGGTGTTGGTTTTTTTTTCCCACCTCAGTTTAGGAACATTTATTTTAAGTAATGTGTTTTCATCTAATGAAGATGCACAAAGTGGTAAGGTTGTTTTTAAAATTGCATTTACATTTCTCCTGAATCGTGCTAGGCTCAGATCTTCAGCAAACTCTCAGCTTGTGTTCAGGGATGAAGTTTAATTTGGTGAATTTATGGGCCAACAAGCCAGCTGGAAAATGTACCGCAGTGAAGGTGTAAAGGTGTAATGTACACAAGCCCATTGGCAATGACAGATTTTACTCTCAGCTGATTTCAGCAGAACTACAAGTGCAGCTCAAGAGCCTTATGTTCTCCTATGTGACACCTTTGCCCAGTTCCTTGGCCTTCAAGATATATTGGGTTGGACCCTTGTTAGCTAACAGTACTTTCCACTGTTAGATGTCACCAGGAGGTAGCAATGGCTGCCACTGACAGTGCTTTGAACTCTCCTTCTCCCTTCTAAAATTAGAATTCACTCCTCCTTTAGGATGACCAATTAGTCTGGTTGTGCACAAGCTCATCTGCTCATCAGAGTTTATTTCTCACCAAACAGTCAACGTCACATCCCTGTTGCTCCCTTGCCACGCTGTCCTAGTCACCTTTCAGGGGTGTCCCAGTGCACGTACTGCACTTGTACACCACACATAACCAAATGGATAAAGGCTGTGCAAGGGAGGTATTATCCTACAGAAACTCGTGTTGGCTTTGAAGTAAGTGAAATAAAGAGGGAAGAAAAAAAGCCTTTGGCACTTTTTGAGAAACTGAAGAGATGCGGGAAAGTGAACTAAACTCAAATACAAATGAGCAAACACTCATTTCATGATGAATGTTATGAAAAACCCTCAGTTAAGTAAAAACTGAAATCTGCTTCTTAGTCTTGTTCATCACCAGTTTAATAATATGACACTTTATTAATAATTTTTTTCTTAAGGTTTATTAAACCATTAGCAATCTCAGAGCCTGAAGGTGTGGATAAAACATGTACTCGGAGACAGCAGCAAGGAAACCTACTGCATTATCCTGTAAACATTCATCAAGGGTTGGCTGGGCAGCACTGCTATGCACTTCTTTCTCCAGGACTGGATAGAAATGAATGCTTTGACACCACCACCAAAAAAAAGCTGCACTCATGCCTGGGCTGCTGATGTGGGATGAGTATGAAGCTCTCATCCTTGCCATGGAAAGCTCTCCTCTGTCCTTATTAACCCCACAAGACTTCCCAGTCTGCTCCCCTCAATACTGCTGAAAAGATTCACCACAGAAAGAAAAACACTTACTAAACGTGTGGTACTAAATGGGAAAACACTGAAAGCAAGCATGGAGAGGAGGAACCAAAAGGTAGAATGTAGCCTTCCACTATCTCTGATCAAAGCAGACGCATTTCCAGAGAAACTCTTCAGAAACTGTGAGCTACACCAGTCTTACAGCAGCCAGACACTGTGGCACGTGAGCTGAACTGGCAACCAGCACCTTCCCACAGCCGTGCTGGGGCTGCAGCACTGAGCTGGGAAGAGGAAACAAGAAGCAGCACATCCCACACTCCTTGTTATGGAAATGTTGACAGTTATTCCATGGCCAAGGCAAACACCTGTGTGCCCAGCCTGCTCAACCTGTCTGCACATCTGGGCTTATCTCCTGTTTTTTTCCAAACCCAGTTAATTATTTCTTATTCACTTTTAAGACAAAGTTTTGTTCTGTGTTTGCATCTTAAATTACAGTATATTTGAAAACTGTTCAGATAAAGAGCCCAAATCTTCAAAGGAAGAAATGAAGGCTATATTCCTGTCCCCAAACTCCTGGGAGAGGCTGTGACTTTGAAGTATGCTATCAAAGGTAGAGATAATGTGGGATTCACCTTAGTAAATGTGGGTGTTTACCACGGAGCTAATTATCTTAGAATCAATGGAGAACTAAACAGAACTAATGATGTCTAAGGAGCTGTTCATCTCATCCAAAAATAGACCTCTGTCTTTGACTAGACTTCACTGACCACACTGACTGGATTCAAAGGGAGCCCACCAGTACCAGCTTTGAGGTAGATACCTCCAGTCTATGCACACATCTTCAGTTGGGTGAATTCCACCCAAAGTGTCAGCCTCTGATCTCACTTGCACCAACCCCTGGGGTGTAACTGCTTTAATGGCACTTACGTCATTACCACTTTAGAGGTATGAAGGTATAATCACCTTCTCCAGGAAGCAACAGTCATTTTAGAGCTTGTCAAAATATTTGGCCATGTATATTGGTCCAGCTAAAGTTGGTGGTAAGCATTCTAATGACTACAACAACATTTTCATTACCATACAACATATCTGTCCTTTTTCTGACATAAAACATACTCTTCCTCTCTTTCTTCATACCTTGTTTTATAGTTTCCCCTTTTCTTCTATGCCAAATACATGAAGATGAAGGACGAAGATAAAAGAGAGAAATGAAAATTTATGTGGCAAACATCTAATTAAGTAAAAAATAATTGGGATTTTTGAAGCATTTAGGAAAAAAAAAATCTCCTGTTAGCACCAGCTCCGTTAATACTATTTGAAATTGTCATGCAAGTGCACTGTCCTTTGTACACATCTGGGAACAAATTCATTCCTTTTCTTCTGCTGGGTGAAAAGGAGATAGAAATGCTATGCCAATCAAAGAAGAAGGAACAGAAAATTGTACCCAGGAAACACGTGGATATTCAAAGCTAGGCCTGAGAACACACTGTATTTAGCTCTTCCAAGGACTGGCTCTTCATTTAATAATTTGATCTGCTATATGAAAGACAGACTATGGTTATTAGAAATACTCATAGCAATGTTAGTAGTGGGTCTTTCTCTGTTGCCTTGACCTCCTCAGCATGTCAGGGTAGAAAACAAAGTGGAAGGAGTTTGTCAGTGATGTTCCCAAAGCAAGAGAGAAGAAAAATGAATGCAGAAACTATCAATGACAATTCAGGAAGGTAAAGTGTTTCAAGAAGGAGAAAGTGGTTCCTCTTTGGAGTCCTGGTCAGCTCCTCAGCACAGCCTTGAAGGGCTTTCTGTTGATCTTAGGAAAGATGGGGGAAGGAAAGAAGACCGAATAGGCATCAGTCCTCCCTCTGTGCCACATGCTGACGTGCAGGGTTCATTTTCTCAGAGCAGATGGACTACTGTAAGAAGGAATGGAATAAGGATCTCAAAAAGGTAGATTTGTGCAGTCTTTGATGGGGAAATACCACATTTCTCAAGTGGCAAAGGGATGGGCTGGTTGGTAAGAGGAAAAATCTACTGCTATTAAACTGATGAACGTTACAGTCATGCATGGCCCTATACTAGAGAGAGGGAATTAAATGCTAAAGTCTAAAAACTGCTGGCTCAGATACAGACCATTACTCCAATAGCTGTGTTGTGGTCATCAGCTCTGGTGTATGCAAAAATCACCTTTCAAAGAAGTTCTGAGTACAGAACACAACTGTCTTTCCAAATATGTGGATCCTCACAAATATTTTTATCTCCGTTAAAGGACGTGAGGTAGTGCAGCAGGTTGCTCTTTTCCCTTATTGCCTCTAAAAGGAGCAAGTGACCATAGAGAAACCCCTTCAGTCATGACTTTCAGAAATGCTTAACAAAAATTATAAAGTCATTGCTTCCAAAAAGCACACCTAGAGTGATGCAAGTTTTCTTGTGTATGAGAAGGAGCTATTACTCCTTATGTACTTCTGATGGGATACTACAAGTCTCAATCAGTGATTGCAGGTTCTTTGAGATCTTCAAATGGAAGATAGAATAGGTCTTTGTCTATTATTTATTTACTTATTGGCTTATTATTTATGTATCCCTAAGCAGCTGTGTGCTGCCAAACCATATTTCTCTTGGCGTCTTTCAGCCTGTGACATTTATATTTTATAATTGACCTCACTAAATGACATAAAATATAAGTTCTACAACCTACGAAAATATGTGTACTCCAGATCAGAAATTCATTTCTACCTGCTGTAGGTATGGAGGAGTTGGACTACCCGGCATTATTAAATCTGTTATTTGTGTGTGGGGGTTGGAGGCAGGAATTATCCTTCCATCTCAAGGCAAGCATAAATATTTCAAAGCACACATGATTCTAATTCCATTGAAGCCCAACTGAAACATCCCAGACTTTTTATTGAAAATGAGATGATAATGTATGGTGGCCAGCAACAGATATACCAGTATTTTAAAACTACTGCTATTGGGCCAAGTAATTATGCAGTACAGCTGTTGCATGCTATACTGGATTTTTTAGTGTTTTATGAGTTCGTGGTGCTGCTCAGCACAGAAGAAAGAGGATTTTTTAGAACACTGAATCCAAACCTCTGATTATGCAGGCCTGTCTTGTCTTTTCCCTTCTTGATTTGTAGTAGCCAATATCAAACTAAGTAACCAATAAAATGAGTTGCATTCATTGATTAGGTTAGCACTTCACATGTCTAAGGCAAATGAAGAAGAGCCAAAATTGTGAATTCTATTCAACTGAACGATCAGATAATAAAGAATCAGTTAATTTGAAACAGGTTATGTTTTTTTTCAGAGATTTAG